ATCAAATTCACGGCACGTGAAATTTGGGCCCTGGTTTGTGGGGTAAACACGCATCATTATCCGAACACACAAACGTATGTGAGGCGCATGCCTCGTGTGTAATTAATATGTGCATGTGTACATGCATACACACAAACACATATGCATACACACAAACACATATGCACACACACACACACACACACACACACACACACACACACACACACGCATACACACACACACACACACACACGCACACACACGCACACACACACACACACACACACACACACACACACACTTGTACTAGCTCACTGCCAAAACTGGTCACGTGGGTCTCCCCGGGTGAGGGGAGAGAGACCCAAAAGGAATCTTGGAAAGATGACTCAATTGGCCATTGAACCACCCAACGGCCGACACCCCCTGAAATCCCCAAACTAGGGTGGACTTGAAATGATCCCACTTATGGGCTCACCACACTTCAGTAAGTGGGTGAGGACAAGGTGCAGAAAAAGGATTGACGGCATCAGGGTATCCGTCCCGGGATCCAACTGCAGGTACCCCTGCCCCCAGTGAAGGTAATACTTGGTACTATTGTGGGTGGCTAAATCAGAATGAATCTGATATAAGCTTCACTAGCACCATTGATTACACAAGAGTTAATCTAGCCAGAAGCAGTCCATGGTTAACAGGTATGTATACTTCAAATAGAAAGTATATGAACCCTGAAACCAACAAAGGTGGTAGGTACAACAATACACCTTCAAGCAGCCGAGCCCGTTGGCAACAGGCCCACCACTATCTGGCATAAGTGTACCCACCAACCGAACTAGCTGGCCCACACACACACACACACACACGCACGCGCGCACGCGCGCGCGCGCACGCGCGCGCGCACGCACGCACGCACACACACACACGCACACGCACACACACGCACACACACACAAGAGTAGCATACATACCAATATGGGCGCCACACAGCCACGGCACGACGGGCTCCATGTTGCTGGAATAGAAGCGCAGTCCGTACGGGTAGACCTTGGCCAAGCAGCGCTCATTCTGCTTCACAAACAGCAGGCCATCGTCCACTTCAGCAAGGTTTTTGATGCGTTTCTCCGGGAATGATGACATCTGCCAGAACTTCTCTGTCATCACAAGAAAGGAAACAAAACGAATATCGGTGTTAGAATATGGACATGCTAACCTATGCTGGTCGGTGTGTCAAATCCAGCCCCCCCCCCCCCCCCACACACACACACATGTTCTCGGTGTCACGTGGTTGTAGGTTGAGCACTGACGTGCTTGCTTCGCGCATCGGATTGCACAACAAACCAGCACCTGGATGATGTTTGCCTAAAGCGCCGTGCCTACGTTGAGCCTCCGTGAGAACCACCATGAGAAGAATAGAACGAAAGAATAGCCAAAAAAAGTCGAGAATACAACACTAAAAACCAGGACCAGACATGATGTACAGTGTGTAGATCAGGAGACGGGGAGGACAAGCAAAACCAGCAGAAAAAAGACGTGCGTCGCCCGGGAATCGAACCCGGATCAACTGCTTGGAAGGCAACTATGCTAACCATTACACCAGCAACGCCACGATGAAAACTGATGTGATTATCTTGTTCAAAAATCAGCGTATTACTGCATGAAGACTCTGGAGAGTCCATGAACAAGAGTATGCAACTGTATTTCCTTTCCATAGTCCAGATGTGCGGCACGCTACATTCATTACAATCATCATACAGCTATATTCATTACATCATACAGCTACATTCATTACATCATACAGCTACATTCATTACATCATACAGCTACATTCATTACATCATACAGCTACATTCATTACATCATACAGCTACATTCATTACATCATACAGCTACATTCATTACATCATACAGCTACATTCATTACATCATACAGCTACATTCATTACATCATACAGCTACATTCATTACATCATACAGCTACATTCATCACAGTCATCATTTTATAGCTCACTGGAACTTCAACCCGAGTATGCAAATGCAATATTCAAGCTGGATAGGCAGAATGTGGTGGGAACTGCGTCATGTTTTGAATACACCCTCTGCAGGCTGCGGTTCTACTCTGGTGCAGCTCCCCACACGTTGTACAACACCCCAATGGTATCAGTTATCTACTTGTACAATGCAGTCCTGCCAATCAAGGAACGCAGCAACGCGTAAACTCTCAGCCTGGGGGAAACAGTACTGCCGAGCGGCGAAGAACGGTGCGGTGAAAAACAAACAGGCTAGGACGTTACTCAGTAAGCACATGTACAGTTAGTATCGGTATGTAAAGTTACACAGTGACTCGACCGCACAAAACTGCAGTACACTGTACATGGAAACACACGCAAAAGGCTTAGGACTCTGATCCATCTCTTCTTCGCACCCGGCAGCAGTACCAAGAGTACAGTCAACTTCGCTAATAACGACACTCGGCGGGGAATCAGAAAAGTGTCCTTATTCGCGAAGTGTCGTTATACCCGAAGTCTCATTGTATGTATTCCAGTTGGATGGGACTTTGCTCTCGACATGGATATTCTGTCGTTATTCGCGAATTGTCGTTATATCCGCAGTCGTTATTAGCGAAGTTGACTGTACAGGAAAAACCAGAGTGTGCAGCTCGAATGGGTTGCTGTCACGGCGAAATTCCTGGAATGCATCATTCATTCTAGTGATGACGTGTATAGCGCGACGTACAAGCAGGATTCAGCAGCTGAGTTGTATGCACACGCCACTTGCCACCCTTATCTCTGACAACTATGATGTAGTCCAGGAATTGCGCCGTGACAGACACCCATTCAGAAAAAAAGTCCGAATCTGCACACTCTTGCCTTGGTTTCATGTATTGCAGTACTCTCGGCGTGGGCCATCCCCTGAATTCATAGGTGCCAAACATATTACGTTTTTCATTGTCTATCATGCATTTTGTCTATTAAAAAAAATAAAAAACTCTTGTAAGTACATACTCTAGTCTCCAGATAGCTAGAGTGCATTTCAAAGGCATAGACCTCTGGTTTCAAAACAAAAAAACCTTAGGCCAGCAGCTAAGCCGCATAAAATCTGTGATCACTCTGCGCATAAAACTTCCGAAATTGGGCGTTTGTTATCCAATCGCTTAGAATATGAGAAAATGGGGAAATTGCCGGCCGGAGCAAGAGCCCGAAGAAATTTCTCAAAAAGCTTTTGAAAAGCGCTATAGCTTGTGCAACCTTGCAAAGTCTCCTTAGTGGGGGGGGGGGGGGGCCTGTGTACTCCGGCTGAAATGGATCTTCATCGTGTTGTGGGACAACATCGCCATCCCAAGAAGAGAAAACAAGCAGAAAAAAGACGTGCGTCGCCCGGGAATCGAACCCGGATCAACTGCTTGGAAGGCAACTATGCTAACCATTACACCAGCAACGCCACGATGAAAAATGCCGGTGATTATCTTGTTCAGAAGCGGAGATTCATCGCAACACCTCAACCTCTGAAGCACATGTAACACACAGGAACGTCACCCCCGAGATTAAGAGTGTGCAACTCCCGAAAACAATGGCGTGCGGACAGAATTCCGAGTTGACATCATTCTTATGGCTCCTAGTTGCAGGTGTTACGGTCAACACACAGCATGCTACACACCAATACCACACAGCATGCTACACGGCATACCACACAGCATGCCACACACCAATACCACACAGCATGCTACACGGCATACCACACAGCATACCACACAGCATGCTACACAGCATGCCACACGGCATACCACACAGCATACCACACAGCATGCTACACGGCATACCACACACCAATACCCGTACAGTTGCGCTCGGTGAAATCCGACCCAAAGTGCATACTGGTCAACACACAGCATGCTACACGGCATACCACACAGCAATACCTGTACTGTTGTGCTCAGTGAAATCCGACCCAAAGTGCATACTGGTATTTGGCGCTCTCAACTTGCACGGCCGTTGACCTGGCCCTGAAAGTGGTACGAACGCGACTGGACATCCACATGCACAAGTACAGTGATGTTATCGGAAGTGGTCCAGACTCCAGAGCGCCAGTCTTGGTACTTTGGGTCGGATTTCAGTGAGCGCACCTGTACACATAGCTATCATGCTACCGTTGAAAACTTGAAAGCAACAACGACGTACGGTTCGTCTCTTGATGATCGAATCCCACGAAGTGCACCGACTGCAACGCGGTGGAGCGCGATAATCGCACCGACAGTTTGTGCTTCTTCTTACCCTCCGTCTGCAAGTAACACACAGCAACAACAACAACAACAACAACAACAACAACAACAACAACAACAACAACAACAACAACAACAACAACAACAACAACCTCTTATTGGCCACTGGCTATCGTGAGAATAAAGATTTGAAACAACAACAACAACAACATCGTGAGAATACAGATTTGAAACAACAACAGCAGCAGCAGCAGCAGTAGCAACAGTAATAACAAGGACAAGGACAACGGGCATACAATGTAAAATTCCGCAAGAAAACTCCGTGAAAACTATAATTAAATTAATACAGTCCGTTGAGTTTGAGACGCCGAGTCGAAGAGTCCAAGTGCACGCCTCTCTTATGAAGCACTCTTGGCGTATCTTCATGTCACACTTGAACTCTCAGTCAAAACCCTGGAGGCACTATTGCAACAACCATTTACACAATCTTAAACAGGCTTTCATCCGTCCCACTGTTCCCAGTCTCCCATTCTATAATAAACCACCTTTTATTCTAAAACACATTGCATCAGTGGGTATTGTAACATGGACAGAAGTGTGGGCACAAGTTATGCAATCGAGCCCACCAACTAAACCAGATTTTGGACCAGATTTTGAACAGTCAGACGTGCACAATCTAACACAAAACACTAGTGCCCACACTTTTTTCCATGTTACAATTTTTTTCCTTGGCTCACCATCTCAGTTCTTATCAGTGAGGGTATGTTTGCACTTGCCGTGCACGATGCAGTCAAGAGCCGGGGGGGGGGGGGGGTAGTGGAATGGACTCATCTCCACCACACATGCCGGGGCAGACCATTAGTACACTGGAACAACTAGCAGAGAAATCACACCCTTGGTTTCAACGCGGCTCGGTGTCACCGCAGCGAGCATGGCTTATCATCACTACACACTCGGGGCACGGAAAAAAAAACACGGACACAACGTGCGACAGGCCTTACCGAGAGCATTGCCGTGAATTGTTTGGGGCTCTGTAGCGGGCAGGGGACACGCGCAGAAACCATCAACACATCACCGACAACACATCTAGTTCATGGAGTGCGGAGAATGAAGACGGAGAAGACGAGGATGCGGATGGCAGGGAAAGCATGAGAGTCGACAACATCAGATGGTGACAAAGAGGTGGGAAGAATATCGGTGTGAGTGATCAAGTGCACAGTAACCGTCGTGAAGGTGTACTGTATGAATGGCTTGTAGGCTTTCAGGAACGGCGAAGATGACTTGCAAGGGCGAAGGCATGGGTGAGTGACAACACGACAGCAGCAAGATGGCTGGCAGGATGGACAGATGGATGGATGGATGGAGTGGAGAACAATTTGACAGAAGCAAGACGGCTGACAGGATGGAAGGGAGATGGACGGACGGATGGATGGATGGAAGGGAAATGGATGGACGGATGGATGGGTGGAAGGGAGGGATGGACGGATGGATGGAGTGGAGAACAATTCGGCAGACAGATGGATACAAGAACAGAGGTACCGGCGATTGGACGGACAGATTGACAATTAGAAGAGACAAGTGAATGGGCAAGTATTGATGAAATGAAATATGGACGAACGTCTGCATACGGAAGCAATCATTATGTACGGAGACACATGGAACTGGTGGACAGACCATGACTTGTGCAACACATGCACACACACACACACACACACACACACACACACACACACACAGGCACGCACACACACACACACACACACACACACACACACACACACACACACACACACACACACACACACACACACACACACACACACACACACACACACACACATTGCAGCAGTAGCAGCCTCACCGGCGGTTTGAACTTCCCCATCGACGACCTAAGCTGCAGCCAACAGAGCGGAGCAAAGAAGAGAGCGGTCATGAAGCAAACCAACTGCACTATCCATGCTCAACCAACACAACATGACTGGAATAATTCTTTGTTGCCATCTTCAATAGGTCCGTCAAATAGTAGTAATAGGTTTTTCATTTGACTTGTCAGGAGTCATACTACTTGCTTTCGTGGAGTGTGGCTCGTGAACTGTTCGCGCTGTGGTCTGCAAGCGTTGTGTGGTCTCGTCGGGTCAAATGAAAAACCTATCACAACATGACTGGATCGGAACATCATGTTGTGAGACTGATGATGGGTGTCGCCACATTCTCCAGAGATCAGCAGCAGAGAAAACAAGAACAACAACAACAGAGTACACATTCGCCAGCGACTCTCTCGGGGTTTGGCGACGGACAACAGTGCGATGCGCCGATCTAGAACATAGCGCGGGCCACGTAACGTTAGAACGCGGCCAGACAACTCCGGGTGATTCGTGGGAATTTTCAGCAGCTACTCAGCAGCAGCAATATTTTTACTCAGTAGCAGCAGCAGCAGCAGCAGTGTAATTATGGTTGGCATCAGTGTGAACAGTAAATGCAGCAATGATTACAGTACCAGCAATGCAGACACCGATCACGAGGGAAAGTAGACAATTGCGGTGACTCACCTGGACAATTCTCTTCATGAGCGGGCTTTTGGGTACTTTCTGCCATCCAGTGGAACATGGAAATTGCAAAGGAAAATGCTTCGTTAGCATGCGTCAACGATAAATAGGTAGATAGATATGGCGAACAGGAGAGATGGCTGAGTAGATGGCTGAATGGAGATGGCTAGATAAATGGCTGGATGGCTGGATGGATGGAATGAATGGATGGCTGAATGGCTGGCTGGCTGGCTGAATGGATGGACGGAATGGATGGATGGATGGATGGAAGGCTAGATGAACGAGTGAAACAATGGAAAGCTGAATGGATGCATGGGCGTTGGAACAGATAGACTGATAGCTGGATCGATAAGCAAGTGGATGGGTCGATGGGTGGACACACAGGTGGAAGGACGAACCAATGGATGGACGAGCTGATGGTCCGATAGGTATAATACCGAAGGATAGAATAATGTGTGGGCATGAGAGGAAAAGCGTGATGACAAACAACGCTATCCAGCAACAGGATAACGTTCATGTGGAGAAGTGAACGGTGGTGATGCAGTGAAAGTGGTGCAGCGAAATTGAAGGTGGAAGATGACGATGCAACGGTGAACCGAACGAAGGCAGAAGAGTCACCCGAACAGTGCATGCAACACCAAACGAATACGTGACAAGCCAATGCAAACAGCGCCGATATCAGGAATACAAACGGCGCGAGCCGGTGCAGGACACACAGGACGCATATCGAGTGACAAGATGCTGGCATTGCAAGAAACA